GGGAGGGGAGGGAGGTATCTGAGACTTCAGAGTACTTGCTGTGGAAGAGAAAGTTCTAGTACCCAGTTGGTAGGGAGGGGTACTAATAAGGCAGGAAGAAGTAATGGAAAAAGAGAGGCCTCAGGCGTTTTTTGGAAGCTGGTAGAAGCCAGGGCTTGCTCTAGAAATTACTTAAAACACACGAATGGTTTCTGTAGGCAGAAAGAAGAGGAGGAGGAGATGGGAAAGAGTTTAAAGGAGCCTGTCCTCTTCGCAAGCACCGTTTTGGACCTGGCGCCAGAGTCGAGCAGGTGACCAGACCCATTGCCCTGCCTTGCCGTGGGGCCTGGGGTCCGGCCCAGTGTTCTGTGAGGCTGGAGGATGCTGCGCGGGCCGGCGGGCCGGCGGGGGCGGGCGGACTACAAGTCCCATCATTCACCGCGGCGGGTGGGCCGCTGCACCTGCTCAGTGGGGCCGCCCCGGGCGCCTGGGTATTGATTATTCCATTGTGTGGGACGCCTTGGCTCCAGCCAGTGAATGAGGCGGAGGAGTGAGGGCGAAGAGAAGGAGGAGGTGGGCGAGGAGGAGAAGGAGGAGGAGGAGGAGGAGGCAGGGAGCGAGCGAGTGCCCTGGGTGAATCAATGGAAACCCCCTCATGAAGCCGGGAAAACACTTCAGCCGCAGCCAAATAGCATTGATTATTTTCCTTCACTTCCCTCACCGCCGTGAATTTATTTATTTATTTTTTCCATCTCCGTCCCCGACGCCCCGGAGTGAGCGCTGGAGGGAGGGAGGAGGAGGGTGGGGGGGAAAAAAGGAATCAACACATCGGAGAAGTCCCTTCCAAGAGCCGCCCCCTCCCCTCCCCGCCTCGCGCTGCTCGGCGGCCGCGGTTCGACTCCCGTCCCTGCTTCCAGCTGAGGTGTAAGTGCATCGATTTCCGATGCTGCTGGGTTGTGTTTTTTTTTTTTTTTTTTTCTCCTCTCCCTCTCTTCTTCCCTTCCTTGCTCTTTGGAAGCTTGAGACGGAGGGGAGAGGAGGCGCTCGGAGACTGCCACTGGAGGGCACGGAGAGGGACTGGAGGGGGTTGGGGGAGGGGACACGGACGGACGGACAGACAGAACCAAGAGCCTGAGGAGAAGGGACAGGGTTGTGGGAGGGAGAAGCTTGCGAGCGGGGATGGGGGAAGAGAGAGATGCAGGGGTAGAGGAGAGACAGGGGAGGGAAAGGCATTGAGGCTGGACTGGGAGCCAGCCGGACAGACGGAGGGTAACGAGAGCCTAGACGGACCGCGCCGAGCTATGCTGGGAGCAGGGATCCCGGAGGGAAGGGGAGGCCGGGTGAGTGCGAGGGCTCGGAGCTGTCAGCCCGGGGGGCCGGGGTCTAGGCGGGCCCCCTCCGGCGGCGGGTTGGGGGTGAAACCGTGGCAGGCGGGCTGGCTGATGGATGGGCTAGCGCGCTATGGGTGGTGGTGGGTGGGAGGGGGACGTAGATATCCTTAATCTTCGATCTTCGTTTTTGCCTGAAGTTGAGTTGTTTTTCGTTTTTGTTTTGTTGTTTTTTGGAAAGGTGCGAGGTGAGGGAAGGCCACTGCTCCATTCAAGGTGAAGCGTGTCTCTCCTGGCCCCCTAAGTCTCCATCCCCTCTGTCTGCCCCTCTCCCTGAGTAGCGCTATCATTTTGGAGCACTTGACCAGGCATCGCTGTGCCTGTAGCCCAGCTGATCGCTGTCCATGTGTCCCTGCTTCTTGATTTTGCCATTCTTCACCTCATTCATTCTCCCCACCCATCCATCTCTAGGTCTGTATGTCACTGTCTCTGCATTCGAATTTTCCCATCCAGGTGATCCTCTCTCAGTGTGTCCCTGCCACTATATGTCATGCCTTGGCTGCCTGTCTGTTCTGCCCACCTAGGACTCCATGCCTTCTCCTTCAGGGTCCTTATGGTTTCCTCTGGCCTTTTCTGGCTACTTTGGAGTTTGCTTCAGTCATAATGTGGTAGTCTCTGGTCAGAGGCCTGGAAGAGTTAAGGGATGGAGCAGACATATCTCCCCTGACTCTGTCCAGTGCCCTTTCAGCAGGGCCAGGACAGCCTCCATATCCACCTTCACCAGGAAGCTTTGGGACTTGCTAGCATTGTTGACTGTCCTCTTTGCCATGTGCCTGTTTCCTCCATCAGGACCTCACTTCTGGTTTCCTGTCATCTGCCTTTCCAGGAACTCCCCACCACAAACCTCATCTTGCTGACTTGATTTCCTCCCTTTACCATTCCTTCACTTTACCATTGTGTATTTTTTTCATTTCCCCATTTCATTTCACCTCTTTTTTTCCATCTCCGTCTCCCATGATCTCCCTTGCCTATTCTCCACCTTTGTTCCCATAATCTGTGGTCTTTCTACCTGTTCTCCTTGGTTACCCTAACTTCCTTTTATCCCTCATCCTCTTATCCAGCATTTTAATAACCCCAGCCGCAGAAGATACCAGAGAGCAAGGGCCTGGGAGAGGTTGGGAGTATGGTTTGTAAAGACACATAAACAGGCCAAGAAATCAATTTAATGGGTTTCCAGGGGCATATAACCCC